AATCCCATGAACTCTCCAAAACATAGCAGGTACAAATTCACAGAAATGCAAATCACCCCCAAAAAGGATAAAAGTATAACAACAGCCTTCACACAACAAAGATCCAATGTTTACTCAATACCCATCAAAGTCACCAAAAGACAAATAAAGGAAAAACTAAAAACGAATACACAGAAGCTTCTTCCCACTAAAATTTGCAATAAATTTTAAAACTACAAACCAACCAAATACAATAAGAGCTGAATTTGTGGGGGAAAACAGGATAGAAATTCTAATTCGTATATGTTATAAAGAGAGATAAGAGAGAGATGTAAACGAAGAACCTGGTCGGTGAAACCAACCATGGACTGAATCGATGGAGGCGACAACGATCGAGGGTGCTTGTGGCTTCGAGTTCAATCGATGGAGAGGCAGACACAGAGGAGGTGACGAGATTGGAGTGAATCGATGGAGAGAGAGAGAGAGAGAGAGAGAGAGAGAGGAGGCGGTTACGATCGATGGTGCTTGTGGCTTAATTGGATTGTGGCTTTGAGTGCAATCGATGGAGAGGCAGAGAGTGTGTGTGTGTGTGTGTGGCTTTGAGTGCAATCGCTGGAGAGGGAGAGAGAGGCGGTGAGAGGCAGAGAGTGTGTGTATGTGTGTCGACTGAAAACAAAGAGGGAAAGATGGGGGAAAAAGAGAGAAAAGGAGTTAGGTACAGGAAAAAAAATTAAAAATAAAAGGACAAAAATCCCTAAAACAACGTCGTTTTATTTTTTCAAAGAACTATATTCGGCGACGAAAATAAAAATATCGCGATTTAAAGTTTTTGCTATTTTATTTTAACTTTAAATGTGGTTATACTTTAAATGTTGCGACGAAAATAAAAAACGTCGCAAATTAAATTTTTATTTTTTTTAAATATTCTCGACAAACTTATAAATATTCTGGAGTCAGTCGTTGGTGATGGAGGTGGAGGCTGAGCTCAGTCGTTGATGGTGGAGGTAGAGGCTGTGCTCATGATCACTAGTGTTTGGTTTGGTTTGGAGTCGTCTTCTTTAGTTCTTTTGGATTGTTCTATGATTTAGGGCAATAGCTTGAGTTTTTTTATTTAAAACAAAAATAAAAATTCTTATCTATGACGTATTTATAAAAACGTCGTGAAAAAATAAATATTCCCGCTATTTTATTTTCGGTAATAACTAAAATTTATCAATTCCCGCCATCATGTTATCTAGTTGAATTTGAATGTTAATTTGACGAATTGAGTGTTCATTGAATGAAATTGAAAGTTTATTTGACGAATTGAGTGTTCATTTAATGAATTTAAAATTTTATTTGATTAATTTAATGTTAACTAGTTGAATTTGAATGTTAATTTAGTGAATTAAATACTTATTAGAAAAAATTGAATGTTAATTAGAAGATGTTGGGTATTAATTTGGTGTTAATTCGATTAATTGAATATTAATTTGATGAATTGAATGTTAATTTGGGTGTTGATTTGATGAAATTACATGTTAATTTAATAAAATTGTATGTCAATTTGATAAATTTGAATGTTAATTTGATAATTTGAATGTTAATTTAACGAATTGAGTGTTCATTGAATGAAATTGAAAATTTATTTGATTAATTTTGAATGTTAATTTGATAATTTGAATGTTAATTTGAAGAATTTAGTGTTCATTGAATGAAATTGAAAGTTTATTTGATTAATTTTGAATGTTAATTTGATAATTTGAGTGTAAATTTGATAATTTGAATGTTAATTTGATGAATTGAGTGTTCATTGAATAAATTTTTTATTTACGTAAAAATTCATCGACGACGTTTTTCGCGAAAACTTAATTAAATTATTGTTTTAAAAAAAATTTAATTTATGTAAAAATTTATCTGCGATCGCGAAAAATTAATTAAATTGTTTTATTTTTAAATCTTTTATTCAGATAAAAAGTTTATTGGCGACGTCGCAAAAAATTAATTAAATTTATTTTTTAAATCTTTTATTAATGTAAAAAGTTTATTTGCGACGTTTATAAAAAACGTCGCAAAAAATCAATTAAATTGTTTTATTTTTAAATCTTAATTCAAGTAAATAGTTTATTTGCGACGTTTTTAAAAAACGTCTCGAAAAATCAATTAAATTATTTTATTTTTAAATCTTTTATTCAGCTAAAAAGTTTATTGGCGACGTTCGCAAAAAATCAATTAAATTGTTTTTTTTAAATATTTTATTAATGTAAAAAGTTTATTTGCAAACGTCACGAAAAATCAATTAAATTTTTTATTTTTAAATATTTAATTCAGATAAATAGTTTATTTGGGACGTTTTCAAAAAACGTCGCAAAAAATCAATTAAATTTTTTTATTTTTATATCTTTTATTCAGCTAAAAAGTTTATTTGAAAACGTTGCAAAAAATCAATTAAATTATTTTTTAAAATCTTTTATTAATGTAAAAAGTTTATTTGCGACGTTTTTAAAAAACGTCGCGAAAAACAATTAAATTGTTTTATTTTTAAATTTTTTATTCAGGTAAAAAGTTTATTTGAAAAACGTCGCGAAAAATCAATTAAATTGTTTTATTTTTAAATCTTTTATTGATGTAAAAATTTTATTGGCCCGTTTCTCCCACCAAAAAATAATTAGGAGGAAATCGCTTTTTTGCAACGTTTTTAAAAAAAACGTCGCAAAAAAAATTAATATAATTGAAATTTGCGACAACATTATAAAATCGTCGCTAATAATAAGTTTTTGGCGACAAATTAAAAATTATCACAAAAAAAAACGTCGCAAAAAATACTTTTTGTTGTAGTGGGTTCAGTTATTAATAGAGCCTCATTTGGCTAAATTCTGGTTCTTTCTTGTATTGAATGTGTTTGTGGCTGATTCTAATTTAGTGTTTTGTGTAGGTGAGATTATTGATCTGCTGTGGAATGTCGAGTCAATCCTCTTAACGCAACATCAGATGATGTTAAAAGTCATTCAGTGAAATGATTAAAGTAGACAAACTACTTTTGTGAAATTGAACGACTGTAGTTACCACTCTTCCTTTCATCCAATTCAAGCTTTTCCGCGTGCAACTAAAAACAAGAACTTTTTTTAAGTAATGTTCCTCCTTTGAACTCGACATTATGAAGATTGTTGGAGTAAGATTTTTTTGGTAATGACTTTGTTGAGATTTAGTGTGGAAACATGTGTAACCTCCAATTTCAACTTTTTATATAGCGAATTAGATATAGGATTCTTTTAAAGAGACGTATTCACTCGTACATAATGTATCACAAATTTATAAGCTTTTGAGAACAATGTGACCAATATCTAGCTCAACATTATGGTGTTTTGAAAAGTTTATGGGAACAACTTATACTCTACAAGTCACTAAGCACTGGTTTAGAAATACATCGATACCAACATGAAGAGTTTCAGATTATTTTGCCATTTTGAATCCTCAACTCTAAGTATAGTGTGTTTAAGAATTAGATTTTTCCAAGTTTCAACTTTTGGCAATGCTTACTCTACTTTTTTAGTGTGTTTGTCTTAACCCCAAGGCTTCTTGATCATTATGGGACTCCTCTGCCTTAATTTCTCTTAAGGGTAATTGGGTAGTTTTCATGGTGGTCGTGGGAACATTTTCAAAATAAGTGCTAGTTGTGATGGTCAAGGTATTAATTGAGGTGCACGTGGTGGTTGTGGTAATCATTATTAGTACAAGTATAACTATTTTAGTTGTACAAGACAAACTAAGAATTATTGTTAGAATATGATAGGGTTCTAGTGCACGGGCTGAATATCATGTCATAGATCATATTTCATGTGAGATGCTACAGTTCACTTTCTATTTTGTGAGATGGGTGTTAATATGTTGTCTCCTATAGTGCATTGTTACAGATGGGCTTGGACCAAGACCCAACTTAGGTTGTGGGCCAACTTGAATAAAGGATCGAACTATACGAAACCCATTGGGTCCAACCCAAAAGAGATCCACTCCTTGTCAGGGTCATCAAGGCTCCAAGAGCCACGTCATCAAGGAGTAGGCAGTGTCATCCTAAGAGTCTCATCTACGCCACCTTGGAGTAAGGAGCAAGGAAGTCAACCACGCTATCCTAAGACCTGGTCTTGAGGAGAGGCCCGCAACAGCCTCACCGTTGCGAAGATGACGCCACTTCCACCAAATTAGTCTTTTAGTTATCGATAAATTGCCTCAATTTGTTAGGGGCGACTATAAAATGTAAGCCCCACCTACACATGGAGGGGGGCATCTCACACAATCTCTCGCATCTGGCATCACTCTTATGTCTCTCACATATTGTACATCACCTAAGCTCTCATTACTCCCACCTGAGCTCTTATTGCTCCCACCTCAACTCTCGTTGCTCTCACCGGATGTCCTTACACTCCTACAACAATAAAACACCTAGGTCATCCTAACCCTTCACAATGGAGTAGGTCACTTTGACCGAACCACTTAAATTATGTATTGCTTATGTTGATTTTTCTCTCTCTATTTTATTATCTGCATTAATTACATGACAGGTATTGTGCAAACTCAATTTGTGCATGATTAGTTACAACTAGACTACGATTTTCTTTGCTATTAATCCAATGTTTGAGGAACATATTAATTACACCGAAGTTGATTTTCATATTATTCACAATATAAAGCCCGATGTGTTTGCCTCTCTCTCCAGGTAATCATGTTGGATATTTTGATATTGGAGTAACATTGTTTTTGCATCTCTAGGCACGCTCTTGAAACTCAGGCCGTATGCAACCCTAAGGACTACATTAGGTTGAGTGTCAACAATCGGGCCTCATCCTTTTTGTGCCCATTTGGCACCGTCACCACGTTGCCACTGCACTCCCACGCTTAACATCTATCGCAAACAAGGTCAGCATGCTCCCAACATTAAGGATTTGGCATCTGCTCTTGGGTACTAGCTCCCCTGTTCTTGGCACCCAGCCTCATGGCGCCCCCCCTGACGCACCTTGTAGATGCCTTGCTCCGAACGTCCTCTCCTAATGCCCAGTTCCTAGTGCCCTGCCTCCTAGCGCCCCAACCTCCTGGCTCCCCCTCGTGGCGCCTAACTCCTGGTGTCCCTTCCTCCTGTACCTGCGCAGCTCCATGCCCAGCTTCCATCGTGGCCGCTCTTGGCTCACCTCGTCGATGTCCTCGTTGCGCACAACATCAATGCGCTCACCCGTCTGCGCCCAGCACCCAGCGAGGCTGTCACTAGCGTACTCGCCCAGCAGCGCCATCCCTGGCACACCTACTCCTCCTCAAATGGCGCCTGTCGCGGTGTACTCGTCATCCCAAGGACTACACCGACGGTAGCCTGGGTCACTGCCTCGCTAATGCCACCTTGGGCTCTAGCTTCCACAACGCTCGTGGTGGCCCCCTACCTCGCCAACGCCTGCCTACTTGCCAGCGCTTGCCTGATTGCTCCTTTGTTGCCTACTTCCTCTCTGATGTCAATGGTTTCTTGCTTCTCCCCTCCTTCATTCGATAGCGGTCTCCAGTCACCTAGCTTATAGGTAACCTCCCTTGCTTCACACAACTTGCTACCACCCATCTCACCAGGAATTCTCTTTCAAGGGTGAATGGAATGAAAAGAAAAGGAAAATCCCCTATTTATAGCCTAGGGTTTTTAAAAATCCTAGCCAGTGATGGAATGGGATAGAGTTTTCGCAGCAAGGATTGTCTTATGGGAAATAACCTTATCAAGAAAGAAAATGGGTCATTAGTCAAAAGGAGTTTTCGTAAGCCAGAGTCCAAATCCAGCTAAATGCCTTATTCTCCAAGTTTTATTGGACTCCGGGTATTAGGGGCAAATGATGGGCCCGGACCAAGACCCAACTCAGGTTATGGACCCAACTTGAATAAAGGATCCATCAATACAAAACCCAATAGGTCCAACCCAAAATAGATTCACTCCTAGTCAGACTCATCAAGGATCCAAGAGCCACATCATCAAAGAGTAGGCAGTGCCATCCCAAGAGTCTCATCCACCCCACCTTGGAGTAAGGAGCAAGGAAGTCAACCACGCCATTCTAAGACCTAGTCTTGACAAGAGCCCTGTGACAGCCTCAGCCGTTGCGAAGCTAACGCCACCTCTACCAAATTAGCCTTTTAGTTACTGATAAACTGTGTCAATCTGTTAGGAGACGACTATAAAATGTAAGTCACACCTGCACATGGGGGGCATCTTAAACAATCTCTCACATCTGACATCATTCTCATGTCTCTCACATCTTGTACCTTACCTGAGCTCTCATTGCTCTCACCTATTCTCCTTACACTCCTATAGTAATAAAACATCCAGGCCGTCCTAGCCCTTCATAATGGAGTAGGTCACCTTGAACGAACCACTTAAATTTTGTGTTGCTCATGTTGAGTTTTCTCTCTCTGTTTATTATCTGCATTTTTTACTTGACAGGTGGAGTGTAAACCCAATTTGTGCATCATCAGTTACAACCAGACGACGATTTTCTTTGCAATTAATCCAATGTTTCAAAAACATATTTAATGGTGTAAATCAACGTGGATGAGCTGAGTGTGTGTGTGCACAACCAAATGCGTAACTAGGCTACCAAGTTCGTAATGGCTATGACAAAGTATTCTTTTGGGGGCGTTAGGGATGTTTGCACATTAAGAGTATAGTGGTTCACCGGCTATGTAGCTCGGCTAATCCACTCTTCAATGGAGGCTCTTGTTCTTTCTCCTCTATTTACTGCTCAAATGCATTACAATACGGTATATCTCGAAATTAGAATTTTTTCTCTCTCTATCCCCCTTTGATGGAGGCGTTACATAGTATTTATAGGACTATTCCCTGTTCTGTAAGATCTCAGCCGAGATCTTCGCCTATCATTAGTGGGATTCTCCTTGATTTTAGGAGAGAATCTTGGTTGGTTGAGAGTTTCATGTTTTGAATCTAATTTTCACAGTTATCCAGCTGTTCCCTGGTCAGTTCTGCTACCATCTCCCCAGGGGGAGCTCTAGCTCTGGACTTCTGAGCTCCTCGTATCCTACTTCCTACTTGACCTCATTTCCTGAGCTCGCTCTTATAACTTATTTGAGGTATCATCAATATTAAACACACCGAAGTTGATTTTCATATTATTCACGATTTCCTAATGCAAAAGGAGATTATCAATGGTTAGGATTGTTGTCTTTAATATCCTTAGAATATAAGTAGCTGATAGGGTGTAGGAAACATTACTCATCGTAGAATGCTATTTATACTCGGATCCTTCTTCTCTTTCTTTCTCCCAAAAACTTTAATAGTGAGTTATTCAAGTTTTAACTAATGCAAACAACAAAAAATTTAAAAATAAAAAGTTAAAAACCACGATAACCTAGAAACAAAGTTACAAAGTGGTAGTATATTATAAATGATTCCTTGTTTTTTTTTTTGCCACGGGGTGTTTAGGCTTGTGCCAAATCTCTCGAACTTTGAATCAGCCATTATAACTCAAGTTAGTTTAATGAAATGTCCCCTGTAAAACAAATGTGGCTAACCTTTAAAGGTGTGGAAAGTAGCGAATCTAAGACCTCTTATTTGTAAGAGGACAGACTTGACCACTGGACCACCCCTAAAAATTTAAATAATTCTTTATTTGGTCCTTTTTGTCAAGATACTACTTCGTTGCTTTTATTGAGTATATTAAACATACTAAATAAATAATTTAGCCCTCATAAAAAATCAAAAAATAGGACCAAATAATGTTGCACGCACTACAAGAAAACTATTTTTGTTTCAACCTGATGGCATGAATCAACGTGGATGAGCAAAAAGTGCAGGTGACGTGATCGTGGATCAGATGTACAAGGCTCATGTGTGATGCTGGAATGTAATGCTGAGGGGATTTGAGGGGTGCACAAAGTGAAAATATAGTGGTTCACCGGCTCAGGAGCTCGGCTAGTCCACTTCTTCAATGGAGGCTCTTGCTCTCACTCTTCTATTCACCACCTTAATGTATTACAATTCGGTATATCTCGAAATTAGGGTTTTTCCCCCCCTCCGCCTCTATATGGAGGTGTTACATAGTATTTATAGGACTATTCCCCATTCTGTCGGATTTGAGCCAAGATCTCTGCCTGCCATTAGTGGGATTCTCCTTGATTTTAGGAGAGAATCTTGGTTGGTTGAGAGTTTCATGCTTTGAACCCAGTTTTTGTAGTTATCTATTTATTCCCTGGTCAGTTCCGCTATCATCTCCCTAGGAGGAGCTCTGGCCCTGAGCTTCTGAGCTCCTCGTATCCTACCATACCTCCTGACCTGACCTTATTTCCTGAGTTCGCTCTTATAGCTTATTTGAGGTATTATCAGTTGCCCCTAGCCCCTGGTTCAAGTGAGCTAGGGCAGGGGCTGAGCTGCTTTTAAATCGATTTGGGCTTGCACGTGGCCGTCCTTGGCTTGCACGTGATAGATGTCCATTTGATGATTTTCAGCAATCGTGGCCTCCTTGGTTCCCGTGCACGCTCCAGCCCACGTCTCTCAAGCTTTAAATACTCCGTTAGAACCACCATTTTCCACTGTTTGGTTTCTTTATTGTCTTTCTCGTGGTCTCTTGGTTTTCTAATTTGAAGTTCTCTGATTCTAAACTCAAGATCGAGTTTCTTGGGTTTGATTTGAAGACTCGCGGTGCCTTATTTCTTCCATTTTGCTCTAGGCTGTTGCTCTTTCCTAACTAGGTACGCCCCTTTTGCCTCCTCTTTCGCCTTTTCTCGTCCTAGATCTCTCGAGTTTGAGGTGGTCATTGCATTTCTGGGCTTATCGGTTCTTTTATCTTTGGAACTAAAACTACCACTTGTCCCCTCTTCCCCACTTCGTGGATTGGGACCCTATCGTGTGAATTCTCGCCGTTAGGAGCTACTGTGTTGACCTTATGGTTATCAGGGAGTGCCTTACCAGTATCCCTCACCTCTACCATTCTTTCAACTTACCTTTCTCCTATCCAACCATGTCTACCCCTTCCAGAGCTACTCGCTCCTCTGCTTCTCTCTTGGGGGAAAGGTCTGCCGAAGAGGACACTGATTTAAGGGATGTGGACAAGGAAATCGACAATTTCCCCGGTGTTGATGTTGTCGACGCCGAGGAAAATACTGAGGAACCACCCCTATCATCTTCTTCTGTGCCCCCTAATCCTAACAAAGGTAAGGGCAAGGTGAGTGGGGTAGGAGTCTCTAACAGCGCAGCGGGCACAGGGGCTACCTTTAGGCATGCTGAGCTTGTAGGACCCGGTGAGGTTGATTCTTCTCTTATGAAAATATTCAGTGGTCGTTACGATTTTCCTCCTGGTGTCTAGCCTTGGTGTCCAGATAAATACACTTCATATGTTGCCCAGGTTCATAAGAAAATCTGTTTCTTCGTGGCTGCTTTTGAGAATGGTCTGCTCTTCCCTATGCACCCCCTACATCAAGAGTGTTTTGCAACACTTCAACGTCTGCCCTGCTCACCTTTCCCCTAATTTATGGGGTGTACTGGCGGGTCTTCTAGTTTTATTTAAGAAACATGAGCTCTAGGGCTCCCAGCCTTTCCTTACTTGTGGATCTTTTTAATGTCAAGCTCACCTCATCAAAGGGTTTGTTGTATATCTCCAAGCGAACCACGGTTAAGCAAATCATTACTCACCTCCTGAGCTTCCATAAGGGTTGGAAGAAATAATTCTTTTTCGTTGGGGGCACCAATTGAGAGTACAACCCTGCTGACAGGACTAACATTCTTGATATCCTTAGAGCCTAGTCCACCCCTGATAACTTAGGTGAGGCCTTGCTCGAACTGACTGAGTTCTGGTTTGAAAATTATTGTGTTATCGTTTTGACCTTTGCTCCCCTTGTGTTATTTTTCAGGCATTCGACCTTAGCTCAACGCTGAGGATGAGAGAGTGAAGCGAAAGTTGGAGACGTGCAATCCAAAGAAATACTTCGAGCTCATCAAGCCCTGGGTTCTAGTGACACAGGGATTTAGTCCTCCTGAGGTATCGATAAAAGCTTCACTCCCCATCTCTGTTGTTAGACGTGAATACATAAAAGGTAACACTTTCTGAGTTGGTTCCCTTGCCTTCCCTTATTTTTCCTTTTTCCTGTTTAACTAGCTTGGTTTAGATTTTCCAGGCTCCTCCATAATGAAATCTACCCCTGAGGAACTCTAGGCTAAGGTTGACCTACTAAAGAAGAGTAAGAACAGTGGCAAACGAAAGGCTAAGACCAGCTCTAGAGGCAACCTCGTTGACAGGGCTAAGGTGTAGAAACTGGGGGTGCCCTCTTCTCCTACCTTAAGCAAAGGAGGACAAACTCCCTCATCTCAATCCCCGGCCCCTTCTCCTCTTCAAGGGGCCCAGCTTGCCCCCCAAAAGGCTTCTGAGCCAGGGTTGGCTTCCCCCACCTCTTCTGAGGTTAAGGGAGCCTTGGGACTGATTACTGAAATTCAGCCAGACTCTGCACCCCCTGGACCATCTGAACAACCATCTCAGCTGCCTCTCCGGAGTCCCAAAGTCGAAAAGATGGAGGATCAAGAAACTGATGAAGACTCCTACTTTGACAACGCTGAGTTGGCTATTGGGGTCATTTCATCCATTCTCC